TTTTTTTTTTTTCAAGATTATCTTATTTTTAACAAGAGTCAAGTAGAAAAACTAAAGAAGTTTGACATCCAGTTAAATTACATTTACATAGAATTTTTAGAACCATATTTTTTCCCTCTTTCTAGACTTCTAACCCACTTTTCCTGTAATTCGGAGGAAAAAAAAATTAGTCACTGTATATCAGTTAGGATACCACAAATGGTATTGCAAAGCATTTATAAACAATACCTTAACCAATAAGGCCACTTGCTACACTGATAAAGCATAGCAGGAAGATTTTAAAAAATCATAACATAATTTTTGGTGAGGCTGATTTTAACAGTTCTTGGCTTTGAATAAAAATTAATCGCTCTGTCTATGATCCATATTATATGCAACATTGTAGTAAATGCAAATGGTTTTACTAGTCAAAGCTCTATACTTTCATTTGAAATATGTACCTTTAGATGTGCTGTTTTTCTCATGGTCTACAGACAAAAAAGGAACTTATTGGTTAGGCATATAATTATTACACATTAAATCTTTAAAGTTTTAAGTTGCTTAAACTAGCTCAGCTTTTTTTCACATGAATAGACATTCCTTCCAGACTGATAAGGTAAAGATCATTTGTCTCCTCAAAAATTACTAGGATATAACCTAGACTGACTTAAAAATATCTTATTTTCCTGAAATAGCAAGCCATTAATTTAGTCACATATTTTATACACTTCGTTTCGCCAGCTTCATTTTAAGTTCTGAAATAACCCCAACCTTACCTGTTGTGCATCTTCCCATTTTTCCTTGTTTTCTTCATCTAGAAGGTTGCTAACTATTTGAAAGAAGTTCTGTAAATTAAATTAGATAAAAGATTTAATATTACATGAGAGAATTATACTTTCTAATAACATCCATTTGGGTTGACTACATGGTAAAGGTATAAAAACTTTGCAATATTGCTTTATGACCCTAACATAGTATTCTAGAAGATCTCTGAGGATCCTTTTTCAGCACCATAATTCCAGGATTTTCATATACGTTCATTTTTTTGTACTCTCAGAGGAGGTCAGTATAGAGAAAACACTTTCACTCACAATTATTTGTTCCATTATGGTTTCTATATTCCACTCTGTAATGTCATTGTGTAATTATTCCATACAAGTAAGTTTGATCCTGTCTGTAATGAAAGTCATCTGTGACCAGGCATGGTGGCTCACGCCTGTAATCCCAGCACTTTGGGAGGCCGAGGTGGGCAGATCATGAAGTCAGGAGATCGAGACCATCCTGGCTAATACAGTGAAACCCTGTCTCTACTAAAAATCCAAAATAAATAAATAAATAAATAAGTTAGCTGGGTGTGGTGGCGGCACCTCTAGTCCCAGCTACTCGGGAGGTTGAGGCAGGAGAATGGCGTGAACCCAGGAGG